CCAAAAAGTTAAACTTTCAATTCGTTGAACTTGTGTTTCCAAAAATAAAGCTGTAGTTTATAAGCTCGTTCTAATTTAAAGCATGGCATAAAAATAAGTGACAATAAAACCTGGAACTTGAGCATTGAAAGTTTGTGCAGCCTTGGCTTCTTGTGGATAAACACGATTAGTCATCGCTTCTAATTTGACAGGCACAAGTTCTAAGCCTGGCACTTGCAGTCCAAACAAATTATATACGGACTATAAACTAATTAAATAAAAAATTCGATTATTCCTAAAGACCACTGATGAAGAGTACTTGGCAATACTCGAAACAGCGTTGTATGGTCAGCCAAATTTCAATAAAGTTAAAAATAAATTTTTGTGTTTGTCCTTTATTTCTTTCTTTGTTATTCGAAAACCCTTCTAAAAATTGATATTTTATACTAACTTAATACCTTAATTTTAAACTTATTAATATCTTATTTTTTTTAATACCTTATACTAATATTTTTTTGTTGCGTTTATATTAACTAATAATAAACAATTTCTTTCTCAATTAAGAATAGCTTAATCCTATTGTTGTCTTATTATAAATTTTTATTGTTTTTTTTACTAGTTTTACATTAATAATAATAACTTACTTGTATGCATAGTGCATTGCGATTTTTGTGACGAGATGGTAAAAGTCGTCACACTCCCTCCTTTCATTGGAAAGGAGAAACGATCCGAATAGCACCAGAATTTGCTATCAGCACCTTATGCTTCTTTTCTTCGTGTTGCACATAAAAGGTATGGCGACGACCTCGCTTTAGCTTCTGAGCGTCCTTTTGTATCTTCTCACAAAGTTCTGCGTGTGGTAGCTCTGGGGATAGCGGTAAAATTGGTCGCTGCTGTCATATTTCTTCAGCTCTTTCATGAGGTCTTCAGCGGCTGTGATATCTAAATAGTCGGTGCCGTTATTGTGTTGGGTTGGCTTGTTAACCACTTGCTGCTGGGTTCCTGCTTGTTTTTTATACCTCGGTTATACCTCGGAATGGAATTGGCTGTTTTTAAAACTGTTTCCTAGGTTTGGCTCGTTAAATTGTTTCAAGACGCTTCCGGTATTTTTGAATACTGGTGGTTAGCTTTCTGCTTTGTTCGGGATTATTGACTACTATTTTACTTGGTTTTAGAGTATGTTAGTATACTCTATTGGACAATTGCTGATTCGCTGTTTGATATTCATGTTGCTACGTCTGTCCAATTTGGACATAAATGTTAAGCTTATATTAATTTTTAGTATAAATAAATATCAATTAAAATAATTATTTGCATTGTATTTGTATTAATATTTGTATTATTTGTATTATTGTATTCAGTATATGTATAAATAAGTATTTTAAATTAGTGTCTTATGTTGTTTTGGTTGTTGGGTTTAATTGTGTTATCAAATATTTTAGCAATGTTGCTGGCTCTCACAACTAAATATTCGCACGCTATCAGCGTGCCAGACGTAACATGATGATCTTCACACGCCACTGTGCAAGGTTGATAGGCATCATGTTCGTTTTCTTTGATCGTGTGTTCGTTGTGAGTTGCAGCAATAGGCAAGCCGCTGCGACAATTCTGTTGTTCCCACAGGTGCAATAAGAGTTGGCGCATGGCACAAGTGATAACACATTTAAGTCACCAAATTTGTGAAGCAAGTTGGTATATGGCACAATACATATACCAGCTTGCTGACTGCATCAAATTGTATAAGCATAGGAAATGCACATATTTTCCACGAGTGCCCTTGGCCTTGAATGTTCAAAGTCCATCGGATAACAAATCGTGGGAACTAGGTGCATTTGCTCTTTTACCATAAGCTTAGTGTTAAGCATTTTGTATAAAAACACAATATTTTGTAATAAATTTATTCATTCAATACAGAACAGCCCTTGCGTTTTAATTAGTTCAAGTGCTTATTAAAACTCAATTGCAAATAGGTTCATGTGCCTAGTTGCTCAAAAAATATTGTTATTGTTTGAATCCACCTGAAGTTGGTTTAAGTGCCAAATTCAGACCTTGCAATAGGAACTGGTTCAAGTGCCAGATTCCTAATCATAAGCAACACTGAATCGATTCAAGTGTCGATTCAGTTTCAATAAGAAACGACTTATTGAACATTTTTGGTGACCCCGACGTGATCCACCGTGAATATCACGTTTTCATCAATCCAGTGAACCTGCTCAGAAGGACCACGTTATCATCAATCCAGTGAACCTGCTCAGAAGGGTATTATTGCTGTATTTACAGCCATGGAAGTCATGGCAGAATTGATTGCCAAACAAGCAGAATTGGGAAAACAAATCCAACAACTGATCACTAACTTCAAAAAGGACTCAAAAGAGAGGAAGACATCCCCTCGCTACTATGAAGAGCGTATTAGGCGACTCAACGAATTATGGGAACAATTTGACCATAACGACACACAAATCAGGAATTTGCCAGATTTGGATACGAGCGTTGCATATTTTACCAGCAACTACTTTCAAGAAATCAAAGAATTATTTGAACAATACGAGCAGATTTTCGAAAATGAATTATCAACCAAAATACCTCCAACACCTTCCTCAAAGGAGTCAGCAACGACAGCACGTCAACCGATGCCGTCACCGAGGGAAGGACAATATAGCACAAGTATAACACGAATGATACACAAGCAAGGTGCAATTTGTGTATCACTGAAGCGACTCATAGCAGGCATCAATCGTCAAACAGGCGTTCAGATGAAATCCTTTTATGAAGTGAATATGGGAAGGATTGAGAAGCTATGGAATGAGATTGAATCCATTAATTTTGAAATTTGGGAGTACACCAACAATCCGACTACAGTGGGATATAAACTCGATGAGTATCTCGAAATGGAAGAATTGGTTCAGTCAACTTTAATTTCGTTAGCTTCAAAGAAAGCAAATGATGAACAATCACAACAAGGAAGCAGTAAACCAGACAGCGCTGGTGTATTACTGCCTAAGGTAACAATACCAAAATTCGATGGCGATTATTTGAAGTGGTGTCAATTCTATGATTTGTTCACCGAAATGATTCACAAGCAGCAGCTTTCTAACGCTCAGAAAATGTGGTATCTCAAAGGTAGTTTAACAGGAGAAGCAGAAGGTTTAATCCGACACCTGTCAATAACCAACGAGAATTATCAAACGGCATGGAATTTGCTACAAGAACGATATCACAACAAAAGAATTATTGTAGCAACAATCATTCAAAGAATTCTAAATCAACCAATAATATCAACCAATCCTTCAGCGACAGAAATAAGGACACTCCATGATGTTACTTTTGAAGGATTGCTGGCACTGAAAAATGTGGGACTCGAAACAGATTCATGGTCGCCGCTACTGCTTCACAGTTTGCTCCTCAAACTAGATAAGCAGACTCGCATTTTGTATGAACAGTCGCTGACTCATCCAAGAGAGATTCAGTCGATTAAGGAGTTCATGATCTTCCTGGAATCACGATTCCAGTCCTTAGAGGTAATTGACCATAGGGAGAAGCCATACTCAGCAAAAGCCCTTGCCACAACTATGGGAAAGGGAAATATATCAACCTGCAAGATCTGCAATAATGGATCACATCCGATATATTATTGCAAAACATTCTTGCAATCAACACCACAATGTCGTGTCAAGACAGTACAGAAACTTAGTTTGTGCTTGAACTGCTTACGTACAGGCCATAGGGCAGCAGAATGCAAAAGTACCCGCTGCCACAAGTGCAGCAAGAACCACAATTCCTTGTTGCACTTATCAGAAATTCCCAAGAAAACCACTTCCTCCGATCAAGAAGAAGCTAATGCTGTTTTAACTACAGCACTGTTAACAAAACCATATGTGTTGCTTGGGACCGCCAAGGTTAATATTAGTACAAATACTGGCGAAACAATTGAATGCAGGGCTATTCTGGATTCTGGTTCTCAAATGAACTTAATAACAGAAAGGCTGGCTACAAAATTACAACTCAAGCTAAATCCAAATCCAACATGGTTCAAAGGAATTGGCACAGGTAAGAGAAGGGCAAACCATCAGGTCACTGCCAACATCTCATCACGTACCACAAAGTTCAATATGAAGATGAAAGCAGTTGTTATGGAAAAAATTATTTCACCTCTACCACACAGATCATTCGACATATCTCAGTGGCCGATTCCCAAAAACATCAAACTCGCCGATTCCGAGTTTAATGTAAACAGTGATGTCGACTTATTGATAGGTGCTGAGCATTTCTATTGGTTAATATCAATAGGTCAAATTCATATGACCAACAACTTACCAGTATTACAGAATACCGTGCTTGGTTGGGTATGCAGCGGTGCGTTAGGTGGATGTAATCAGGGTACAATCACTTGTACAAAAGCCACCGAAAATGAGCAAAAATTAGATAAAGTTGCGAATCATGATCGGCAAGTTACATATGTCGAGAAAAAACGTGAAGCAACATCTATTGGAAGTACTCGTCAAATTAAGGAATCACCAGTAGATCGAAGTGTAAATACCCATCCAAGAATTGAAGGTAAGATTCGAGTGGCAGATGGTAAAACTAAGAACGGTAGTTTGAAGCGGCCAATACATCGATTGGCACCGGTACCAGCAGATTTACATTCGTCTACCACTTCACAACAACATCAACCTGAAGAAACGCCACTAAAGCGAGCAAACCTCAACATCAACTTGCTAGCCATTGCATTGCTGGTACTATTATGGATACCACTGATATCAGGGTTAGGTATCACAATGAAATCATTTAATAACACACCAGGCATTCATTTCGAACACAAAGGAGTCATCAAAAGATCACAAGCAGAATGGAAAATCATAGCATATTATGACTTAAGTCCATTGCAGCAGGAGTTTGAATTTATTGAAAATGGAACCGAATCCTTAGCGAACGTGTGTAAGTTGATGAATGGATATAATCACTGCTGGACGTTAGTTGAACAGTTCAAGGCAGCGAGAAATTAATTGTTATCTGCAAACATAATGCAGATCAACAAAAGAAAGAAGAGAGGCGCAATTGATTTAGTGGGTAACATTGCGAATGCAGTATTCGGCGTTTTGGATTCAGAATACGCTAAAAATATGGCGCAGACGATTCAACAACTAAAAAATGACGACAAACATTTGCTTAACCTTTTAAAAAACCAAACTTCAATTTTAGATTCTACTCTAAATATCATGAAACGAAATCAGCAGCAGTATCAAACAACCTTTGAATTAACAGTCGAGCGATTGAACGTTGTAAAGGCAAAAATGTTAGAAGAGGACAAGGAAATTTATAATTTAAAACTCCACCAACTTTTCACTGCAATTTCAACTCAACTACTAAGTGTAACAACAAGTATTCAATTTTACGAATCAGCAATTTTAGGAGTGTTGACCGACACAAATCATGGTAAAATCAGTCCACTTCTCCTGACGCCAAAGCAACTCATGAATGAGGTTACCACAATGAGGGAACATCTCAGGTCAACAATGCAGTTGCCGGTTAACATGAGCAACATTTCTGAGCTATATTCTCTTATGACAGTCAGCAGCGGTTTATTTGATACCAAAATGTTGTTTCAAATAACTCTACCACTAATCAATGATCAGTCCTTTGATTTATTCGTTGTTATTCCCGTTCCAGGGATCATAAACGGAGAATACGTGACAATCACACCATGCACGTCTATGATGGCATTCAATACTCATAGGAATGGATACTTTCCGATTTCAGAAATACAGTTGTCACAATGTGTGTCTTCAAAAAATGATGTCTTCATCTGTTCAGATACACAAGAAATATATTCTCTTGAATCAGGCAAGTGCACTTGCGAAGTAAATCTATTTAATAATAGTACATCATCTTGCACTTGGCAAAGTTTCACAAGTAATACCTTATGGATCCAGGCTGTTGCGCAAAATCAATGGATGTTCGTCGCAAGAAACCCTGTAAAGCTAAACGCAGTATGTGACAATGAGCATTCTCAGGTGAAATTGCAAAATACAGGTTTACTTGAGCTCCCACCAGGGTGCATACTCTCACATCATACGGCAACAATAACCAGCCATTACACAATGACTACTCGCTTAAAATATTCCCACACAAGCTTCCATTCAAGCCCAATAGTGACAGCGATTCCTCGGCAATCATCTCTAAAGTTGAAAAACATCAGCATGGAGACAGCTAACGATGAAATAACTAGTTTGAAGGCATCTTTAAATATGATAAGGTCTCAGGAAGAACTGCCGAACAATGCACTATCGCAGCACCAACACCATTTCATTGTGGAATATACGGCATTTGGTCTCAGCGTGCTCATATTCTGCAGCATAATCGGTCGATATTTATTCCGAAGAAATACACACCGTCACAGGATTGGTACACCCCACCCACAACCACGAAGACGAGTTCAAGAGCAACATGCAATGTCCGAGGTCGAAGTAGCAGAAGAGGATTGACTGGCGTCAACGGGGGCAGAATGTCCAATTTGGACATAAATGTTAAGCTTATATTAATTTTTAGTATAAATAAATATCAATTAAAATAATTATTTGCATTGTATTTGTATTAATATTTGTATTATTTGTATTATTGTATTCAGTATATGTATAAATAATTATTTTAAATTAGTGTCTTATGTTGTTTTGGTTGTTGGGTTTAATTGTGTTATCAAATATTTTAGCAATGTTGCTGGCTCTCACAACTAAATATTCGCACGCTATCAGCGTGCCAGACGTAACATGATGATCTTCACACGCCACTGTGCAAGGTTGATAGGCATCATGTTCGTTTTCTTTGATCGTGTGTTCGTTGTGAGTTGCAGCAATAGGCAAGCCGCTGCGACAATTCTGTTGTTCCCACAGGTGCAATAAGAGTTGGCGCATGGCACAAGTGATAACACATTTAAGTCACCAAATTTGTGAAGCAAGTTGGTATATGGCAAAATACATATACAAGCTTGCTGACTGCATCAAATTGTATAAGCATAGGAAATGCACATATTTTCCACGAGTGCCCTTGGCCTTGAATGTTCAAAGTCCATCGGATAACAAATCGTGGGAACTAGGTGCATTTGCTCTTTTACCATAAGCTTAGTGTTAAGCATTTTGTATAAAAACACAATATTTTGTAATAAATTTATTCATTCAATACAGAACAGCCCTTGCGTTTTAATTAGTTCAAGTGCTTATTAAAACTCAATTGCAAATAGGTTCATGTGCCTAGTTGCTCAAAAAATATTGTTATTGTTTGAATCCACCTGAAGTTGGTTTAAGTGCCAAATTCAGACCTTGCAATAGGAACTGGTTCAAGTGCCAGATTCCTAATCATAAGCAACACTGAATCGATTCAAGTGTCGATTCAGTTTCAATAAGAAACGCCTTATTGAACAACGTCGTTTGATAATGTTCAACTAAATCCTCGTATAATTGTTTCCGCGTTTTATAGGAATTTCTATTCTGTAGATCCCGTTAATGCTGCTGCGGTACATTCGACATTTTGAGTTGTTCGTGGTAATATGTTTTTTGGAATGTCAGGAGTATGTTCGAAAGCGGTAAAATTAATAATAATATACGGGAAATGCAGAAACATAAAATTGGTATTTTGGGTGTAAGTAAAATGCGTTGGACAAACCACGGAAGCTGTACTATAGACAATTATGATGTGTACTACAGTGGCGACGATGGAAGAAGAAACAAACATTGTGTTGCAGTTATTATATCAACAGAACTCAAAAATATGGTAACAAATGTCGTGTATTACTCCGCTCGTATAATAATGGTGCAAATGAAGGGGTGGCCAGTAAATTTAAATATAATTCAAGTTAACGCACCCACATGTGATGCTCCTGATGATGAAATTGAAATTTTACGAAGGAATACAATAATTGATAAGAAGTACAAAATCAAGAGATGTTCTGATGGTGATGAGTGAATTTAATGCCAAGATAGGCCAAGGTAGGGACGATGCTATTGTTGGCAAATTTGGCCTAGGCGAAAGAAACGAAAGAGGTGATCGTTTGGCTGAATTCTGCAGAAGTAATAAGTTGATTATTTCCAATACATTCTTTAAACTGCCAAAACGGAGACTTTATACCTGGAAGTCACCAGCTGATACAGCAAACAGGGTCATTCGTAACCAAATCGACTTTATAACAATAAGTGAAAGATATAAGAACTCAATAAAATTCGCAAAAACTTTCCCCGGTGCGGATGTTCCATCTGATCACAACTTGCTAACTGTTAAAACCAATATTAAGTTCAAAACGACAAACTCAGCTCAACCGAGGAGTAAACTCAATGTACAGAAATTAAAAAGCCCAGATTTTAGGATGCGATTTGAGGACGAAAATGAAATTGAAACGAAGTTTTAAGAGAAGCCTTGTATGGAATACGAGTCCTAATAGAACGTTGCCGTGACTATAACAAAGATGTCTTTTTATGTTTTGTTGATTACGAAAAAGCTTTCGATACTGTGGAACATGGCAAACTCATAGAAATTCTGAAGCATTGCCGATTAGATGAAAAGAATATCCGAATAATAGCAAACTTATACTGGAAGCAGTACGCAAATGTTTGCATTGATGATTACTTAACGCAGGAAGTAGAAATAAAGCGCAGGGTTCGCCAAAGGTGCATTTTGTCACCACTACTGTTCAATATATACTCGGAGACTATTTTCAAAGAAGCACTACAAGATGCGACAGATGGAGTTATGGTTAACGGGGTACTTATAAACAATTTGAGGTATGCAGATGATACAGTGCTTATTGCCGATTCAATAGAATGCTTACAGAACCTGTTAGACGCTGTTGCATTAAAGTGCAGAGAATGCAGCCTAAAATTAAATTGCAGTAAAACCCAATATATGGTGATAAGCAAACGTCCAATTCCTGGAGGAAGACTGACAGTATTTAGTTCAGCCATAAAAAGAACCGATAAGTACAACTACTTGGGATGTCAGCTTAATCAGCAATGGGATAATAGTAAAGAAATACGTATCCGAATTGAAAAAGAAAGGTCGTCTTTTATCAGAATGAAAAACTTGCTGTGTACCCGGGAGCAGTCATTACCGCTTAGAATAAGAATGCTGCGGTGTCATATATTCTCTATACTCCTTTAAGGGACAGAGGCCTGGACGCTGTCTGTTGCAAATACAGTGGTACTTCGGCATGTCAGCAAAGAGACAGAAATATTAGAGACATTAAAACGCCGAAAGTTGGAGTTTTTTGGTCATATTCTGAGGCATCCGGTAAAATATGGACTACTAAAGTTAATCATTGAAGGCAGAATTGATGGTAGTCGTGGCCTTGGGAGACGAAAGTGATTATGGCTGAAGAATTTACGTCAATGACTTAATAAAAGGACAAGATCACTTTTTCGAGAAGCTGTAGATAAAACCAAAATACTAATCATGTTAGCCAACGTTCGAAGCGGACAAGGCACCTAGAAGAAGAAGAATATGTTTTTAGTTTGCTAATATGAACTCTTCTCTCTTTCTGTGTTTGCATATGTTTGAGTTTGATAATGACTGGCGATATAAAATTGACCACCTGATAGGGTCCTGAGAACTTAGGTGCCAGTTTTGCAGCAAAATGAGCCTGAGCGTTGGATAGAGGATGCGTTTTAACTAAACCCATATCGCTAATCTGTAGTTTCCATGCGCTATGTCGTAAATTATAGTGCTTGACTTAGTCTTGGGAAGCTGAGTGTAGTTTAAGTTTCACATTTCTTGCATTTTGTGTGGAGTGGAGTGCTAACATTATTTCAGGTAGATGCTCGTCCTATTTACGCTGTTCCTGTTCTGACACTTGTGCGATTATTGTTTTTAACGTTCTACCGGATTCTCTTGGAGAGTGTATAGTGCTGTAAATTGGTGACGAATTCCAAGGTCTTCGAGAAACTGCTTAAATGCTCTACTATTGAACTGTGATCCATTGTCTGTGAGTAGAACCTTTGGGAGTCCAACTCTAGCTATTATATTTTCCCGTAATGCCTTCTTCACTCCATTTTTTGTAGCAGATTTGAGGGGGATAACTTCGGTCCATTTACTCAACTTGTCCAAGAGAACCAATGCTGTTTCCTTTGTATGATCGAGGTAGTGGTCCAATGAAGTCAGCACAGAGTACTGCCCATGGTTCATTTGGTATTTCCGTTAACATTTTCCCGAAAGATTTTGTTGACTTGTTTTATACCGCTGACATGAGCTATAGTGTTTCACATATTTCCTTATATCCCGAAAAATTCCAAGCCAATAATACGTTGATATCACCCGAAGAATAGTTTTTTTAATCCCAAAATGTCCGGCAGTTGGTTTGTCGTGGCATTCCCCCATCACTCGTTGTCGCATTTCTGTTGGAACACAGAGTTTCCAAGCAGGAGAATCATTGCCTTACACTTCGTTTATCCGTCTTTGCAACCAGACGCACGAGGTAGGTTTTGTGACTTGCACAACTGTTTGTGCGAACAATGGTAATGGCTGGCGTGATGGAGCATCCGCAATTATATTTTGTTTACCTTTCCGATATTCTATGTTGAATGTATATTGTTGTAGCTCCAGGGCCCATCGACCGATGCGTCCAGAGGGGTTATTAATTGAGTTCAACCATTTTAGAGCGAGATGGTCTGTAATTACTTTAAACCTGTAACCTTCTAGATATCGTCGCATCTTTCTTACTCCCCAAATGATTGCGAGGCATTACTTCTCAGCAGTGGTGTGATTTTTCTCTGCCTGCTTAATGACCTACTGGCATAAGTAATGACTTTCTGCGTAAGTACAGCCCCCAATCCATTATCACTGGCTTCTGTTTGTAGTGTGAAACGCTCAGTAAAATCTGGGCATGTAAGAACCGGAGCAGTAGTTGGTTTTTGCTTCAGAGCGTCAAATGCTTCCTGTTGTTCTATCAACCAGATCCATTTTTTTCCCTTCTTTAGCAGTGCTGTCATTAGTTGGATCACATTTGAAAATTCCGGCACGAATCTTGGATACTAAGACGCTATTCCTAGACATCGTCGTAGTTCTTTCAAATTTGTGGGAGGTGCTAACTTCTTTATGGTCGCTAATTTATTTGGGTCGGTGTGGATTCCTTGATTGCTTACAACGTGCCCAACATATTTGATTTCATCCATAAAGAATTTGCATTTAGGGATGTTGATTGTAAGCCGTGCCTCTCTCAAACGTCTCAATACTTCTTGTAGATGCGCTTTATGTTCCTCTAGTGTGCGGCCAATTACTATAATGTCATCAAGATATGCAAAAGCGTATGGCTCCATTTCAGGCCCTATTACCTTATCCAATGCCCGTTGGAAGGTGGCAGGTGCTGAGTGTAGGCCAAAAGGCATAACACGCCATTGGAACAGCCCTCTTCCAGGTACAGTAAAGGCTGTAAACTTTTTGCTGGCTTCGTCCATTGGTATTTGCCAGTACCCATTTTTCAAATCCAGACAGCTAATGTAGAGTA